TGGCTTGGACTGTCTTTGACAACATTGATTCCGTTTCGCTGACTCGTGTGCAAGCAAAGGAGTGGAATGGCTATTGGAAGCTGGATTTAATGACACTTGGTTGACGGATTTGTGATTTAAACTGGCTTTGTGTTCGGGTAGCTTGTCATTGATGTGCATTCAAGGATTCTGAGAAGGCTGATATCGTGGCATCAAGCCTTGCAGAGTTGATGAAGCGACGCCTCGTGCCATGGGACGTCCTAAAGGAGTGCTTCACGGTGTCTTTGGGCACTTTGCCAGAGTTGAAGTGGCATGGCAGCACTCAGCTGACCAATTTCTTTTATAATTTTTTGACCACTCCCACTTAAGTAAGGAAGCACCTACTACTCAATTATATAAGTAAGGGAGAAGTTGGCTAGTAGCTACCTGGATGCTACTAGCAACTGGACGCAGGATAGCTCACGCTTCTTCAAGGAAGCTCCTCCAGCCTGAGGGGGAGCTTCCTTGAAGAAGTGCTCGTACTAATGATTTGCTTCCTAGATTTTTAGGGAAACTTATGGACCTCGGGTGACCTCGGGTGTTGAAGGAAGGTGGATGCATTGAAATCCGTCAACAGGGGTGAATCGAAGAAAGCTATAAAACCTTTTCTGCAAAATGCGGGCACGGTCAGGTTGGATGAACCGCAATGTGACGTAATGGTACATTGTTTAGTCGCACGCTTGCTGATGCTGGACAGTTTCAAGGAAGTCTCTTGGTAAGTTTGGCCTGCTGCAGGTTGCTTCTGGTTTCTGTCGACTTTGTCTCTACTTAGATGTGCTACGAATCATGCCATGTATCATGCCACCCGTGTGCTTCCCAACCGGAGTCAGCCCAGGCCATGCTGAAACCTATTCAGAATTTTGTCTCCCAAAATGAGAACCGCGATCTGGGTTGGAGTTTGCTGCAGCCTGGCAGAGGTGCAGTTTGAAAAGCAGATATGTCAAACGGGCTTCACGGCAAGTCCTTCCAACTTCTATTTGCAAATAGAGTGGGTACCGGTGCAGAATGTTGGTCTTGCCAGGTTCGCATTCCAGGTGTCAGCAACAAAGCAAGGAAACACAGGTGGAAGGCAGCGTGAGAGGACCATCTGCTCCAAAAGGGGGTGCTATTTTGACTGCATGAATCACAACTGCAGCGCGTTTGGATGATATGAGGCATGGCATTATCAAGAAGCTCAAAGTGGAGAATCGCCAGGACATCGTGAAGAAAGCACTGGCTATGAGCAGCTTTGCTGCAAAAGGCTTTGTTGAAGCAAGCAATGTCGCCGGAGAGGGCACATGGTGGGTAGCTCGCGGTATCCTCTCTGCAGAGGGGGGGGTGCCAGCCATTTTCCTTGAAGACATCCGTTAGATTTCGATTGCGCAATGCACCTTATCTCATTGGGGCCCTTTCACAGTGTGACTTTGGTCCCTTCTTCCGCTTCTTCCCCAAAAAAAGGCACCATCCGTGTCCAGGTGAGTTCACCAGCTGTGCGGCGACAGCGAAGGGAATAACAGCTTCAGAAGCCAAGAAACACTTGGATAGCTGATTTGCCGGAGCTGAGTGAAGCTCAGTGTGCCTGTGTGGGCTGAGGGGCGTGTAGTGTAGCGGAGTGTTTTTCGGCATAGCGTAGCTAGCTGGAGCCAAAGGGCTGGACAGGTTTTCCACGACCCCCACCGAGAGTTGGTCCCGGTGAAAGAGCAATGACCTCCAACCTAATAGCAAACTACTTAAAACCTTTCTTCCTTTTTCTATATATATATATATTTGTTTCTAATAGCGATGGCCTCCAACCTACTGGCGATGGCCTCCACTAGCGATGGCCTCCAACATGTTGAGTATGGGCATATCAATGCATATCACTTTGTATTGGTCTATGTGGTGTAACGTGTTGTAGATGCCCGGCGCATGAACATTTTTGTGTATAGATAGGCAGTGTGCAGCTCCGTGTGCGCGGCACTTGGCCAATTGTTAGTCACTTAACATGCATTGCATTGCACATATCGACTGCAGTTTCTGATGGATCTAAAAAGTGGTGGGGAGCAAGCTGGGCAATGAGAGAACTCAATCTTGCCCAGGGGACACAGGTCTGTGCGTGCCTGTGAAAGCAGAAGCATTGACCGTAGAAGAGCTGCAATCCAGGCATATGCCCCAAGAGCCTTTGCAACTTTATATAATTCAATCATGCTTGATTAGATAGGGGGATGTGCTTGTGATACCATTCTCCCCATGCTCCCCCAGTACTTTGGCAGTAAGTTAGACACCTGCATCGGATTGACACCTGGATTGAGAGATGCGAATGACACGGTTTGCATCGGTGAAGTTTCGGAGTGCCTCTCTGTAAAACTGCGACGTGCTTTTGTGTGCCCTCGCAGTGGAGTGGCGAGCTCCCGAATTCAGGTCCCGTAACGGGAGCAAGTGACCGGTATCCCAAAGAGTTTAGGGTGCCCTAGAACTGCGGAAAAAGGCAAGATGTGCACGTATGTGCCTCACAGGATTGTGATCAGCTTGGCCGCATTTAAATGCTGGGGCAACACAAAAAATAGTGAGATGCCCACCATGGCAGAGGAAGCCAGCTCACCATGACAAGACCTTAGAACCCAGCAAGTGGTGGCAAGTCTGATTTTAGAAGTCATTCTTGCTGCCTGGCAGCAACCGCAAGGCTATTACAGCACTCTATGCAGCTGAACATCACAGAATCATGGAATCATATCATGGCTAAGAAAGTCTACCCTCGTTTCGACCCAACTGTTTGCAATCGAAGCAGAAGGCTTTTCGGAGTGGTTCAGCTGAAGTGCATCAGCAAACTGTGTAAAGCGCGAAAAGGTGCAGAGTGACAGAGGTGGAGCAAACACCTTTTTCTCACTTTGTGAATGGATAAGCAGCCTGAATCCACAGCATGTTCCGTGTGACAGAATTTTGACCACTGGCATTTTTGGTTGGAGAGTCGGGGCTTGCGCGGAGAGCATGGACTCACCAAAAGGTGTAGATCTCGGTGGTCGCCGTATCATTAAAAAAGAGCGCAAGATGCCCATATGTTTGCTCTTGCAGGGGTCCGCGATGACCTTGCAAGCCAAAAGCAGCTCGACCCTAAGGTGCCGTTTGTTTTAGTTTAATTGCATGGCAGGGATATTTGGAACGAGGGCATGACTATGACTGTAGCTGAGGCTTGAAATATCCGCCACATCAATGGTTTGATATTCAGAAGAGTGGTCTGGCAAAAGAACGCCAGGCCGGGTCAGCAAACGGGTCAGCAAGCGAACGCGCGAACGTGAAGGAAACAGGTTGGCTGGCAAGGTTCAGCTATCATGGTTCCTATTCAATCTCCTTGCTTGATAGTATGTTTATACAAGTCTTGTGGTCAAATATCCCGGCCGCACTGTGGGCCCTGCGGGTGACCTCAAGCTGTTTGTGCTCCATGGACCACGCCAATGATCATGCGCCAGTTTGTGCTACCATGTTTCTTCGCTCGTGATCTGGTCGACTGATCCTTTTTTAAGCTGCGTAATCTGCGTTTTGCCAGACTCAAAGAAGCAACTTTCGACGAGCGCATCCGCATTTGGTCGTGTGGATGCTCAAGTTGACAGTCTAACGTGCTACCACTCAGAGGTGCGGTGGGCGAAGCTAGCCTCAGCTCAGGCTCCACTGCCTGTGCTCTCACCGGATGATTTGGAAGATCCAGCTTCTCAGCTGGCAAGTCTTTGCGCACATTGACACGTTTCCTTCCCTGTTGTGTGTGCTAGGCCAAGACCATCGTGCCTCCTAGCGATATTTTTGCAGCATCGTGGACTGCAACCCTGTCCAAAGTTGGAAGCATCCAAGGCCGGCTAGACTCGCGCAGCTGGAGGGGACAAGGGATAGAATATTGTTTCAGATTTCGGTGTTGCAGTCACTCTCCAGGTGCCTCTTGCTGGCGCCAAACCCCTGAGAGAGGCAGGGGCTTCTCCGCCTCCGCCACCACCCAGGGATCTGGGATGCTACAGCAAAGTCAGTGTGGTTACTAGGATGCAACTTCCTGAACGCACGTGCCTTTCACAGCCGCCCTTAGCTTCTTTGGTCTAAGCTGGTGCAGGGCCTGCTCCTCATCTCATACCTCCACGACCTGGGGTGAAATGTGGGGGCCTGGCAGTGCGTGATCAACGAAGCACAAGGTGAAACATGGAGTTCAAGCGCACCGCTCCCATCCCAAGGCAGCAGTACTGGTGAGATCTACCTGTCAAAAAGTCCAGCACAGGCAAGGTGAGTTCTTGTCTAAGACTTGACTGAGTCTTTTACCTATTTTCCAGGTGCCTTTTCGTGTGAGCACTGCTCCAGACCTGAAGATGGTTGATAATGCATCGCACTCGTTGATCAAGCATTGAGGAAGCCATCGGAGCAGTGCAAAACGGAGGAGGGTTCTGTCGGTTCTGTGATATTTTTTCGGACCGATTGAACCCGTTTAGTTTTCCGTCTTGGCACTGGCTTGTTTGACGGTTCTCGCAATACCAACGCTGAATTTGGGGCTATTCTGGAGAATCTTGCAATGCTCAAAACCAGGCTGGCAACTTCAAATGCTATTACTGTGAGACGTACAACGGCCCAAACCAGAACGTGTTGGAAACTTCAACGCGCAATATTGTGAGAAAAATTGCCAAAAGCCAAATCATGTGAAACAAACGAGTGCCAAGGTAGAAAATGGTTTGTTCAACGAGTTCACAGTGGCGGGCCCAATGTCTTGGGTCTGCCTTGGGCTGCTTAGGTCCTTTTCCGACCACGGCTTTATAGTGAGCAACGCGTCGCAGGAATTCCCATGCAGGCTGGATCCCCATGATGCCATGTCAGTGGTGAATCCCAGGTCAGGATCGGGCGGGCACTGGTGAATAGAGAGAGAAAACCATTGAACACTTAGAGGTCCCTGGGAGTCCCTACAGATCCTCGGTTTTGTTTGGAAACCACTTGTGCGATTCCAGGTGGCCAGCCCAGCTGTTGGCGCCTCAGCATGTAAAGCACTGCTAAAACACTGCCCGTCATTGGCTGCCTGTCGGGCCTGTCGGCTGACTTCGGCTTCAGCAGCACCCTGTGAGCGCCATGGGGAGCTATCAGAGACACAACTGCCGGTTTCAATATCTTTTCTTGGCGACTTTTGGCATGTGACTTGGTCAAGTAAAGAAGAACGAGTTCTTTTCTTGAAGAGTTTCTTAGCTTGCCTGATCGATTCAAGTCACTTACGCCGACGTACGCTAGATTGAGCCCGTCAGACATGTCGCTGTGCAAAGGCTTCGTGCAATTAGCTTTGCAAGCTGGGCTGTATCTGGCCAGAGCACCAGCCGCTCAGTGGAGAACCACTATATATAGTCACATATAGTCACATGTGTCGAAGCAGACGACAGCAGGAACTGAGTGGCGTGTAAAGCATGCGATGCCTCCTTCAAAGTACTTCATTCCAACACAATGTGGGTCATGTCTGTTTACATGAATGCACTGACCTGCACTTCCACCATTTTCCCACCTCAATTTGCTTAAATCACAAAGAACCACATCATTTGGGGATCGAGCTCATGAGGCATCACGACACGAGCTTCCTGAGTTCTTGGTGGAACATCCCAGGTCTCAGAAGAAGAACAATCGGCCTAGCGAGATTTCCAGCGCTACCAGGCTGCAATGACGCTTTGATGGTCACTATATAGTTGCTACTGTACATGGTACCTGTTCTGAAGCAGTTGAAGCTTTTGAGGTTCATGATTCCAGCTGCAATTCCAGCAGCTCCAGCTACCACGGGCTTCTGCTCAACCGGTGGGTGCAGTCCTGACAAGACTACAGATGCTGCTGCCTGGCCATGTGTAGAGCAAGGCTTCGGCGAGGGTTTAGGGTTTAGGGTTTAGGGTGGCAGGAAACCTCCGGTTCGTTTCGGTTCGTTTCGGTTCCTTGAAACTGGAATGATGGGCGGTTCGGTTCGCAATCCAAACGGTTCGTTTCGGCTTTCGTGAGAATCGGTTCGGTTCGGTTCGGTTCGGTTCCTTCGCCTTTTTAATATACAACAGAAGGCGGCGTTTAAAGCAAAGGGGCTGGCAGATCACAGCACAGCCTCCGGAGTTTCCATAAACTGAGACCCATGGGGGTTGCTTTTGGGTGAATTCAAAAACGACCTGAAAGTGATTTTCGATTTCTGAAAATCGTTTTTGGCATAGTTTGGGCGATCGCCACTTCGAATTCATGTAAAAGGGGCAGGAGAGGAGAGGAAAGGAAAGGGAAAAGGAAAAGGAAACGGAACAGGAAAAGGAAAAGAAAAGGAGAGAAAAGGACAAGGAAAAGGAAACTGAAAGGAAAAGGACAGGGAAGCAGGGTCTTCGAATGCTGTTGTTCGATGTGCCTTTGCTGATAGCCACTTCAATCTCATAGACAGCCAAAAATACACGGAACAAAAACGACAGGCCGCGCTGGTGGCAATGAATGCCCTCTCGTTTGGGCGCGTTAGAGCTGCCTTTGTCACCAGAGGTTTTCCAAAGCTGAAAGTCACGAGCTGATAAGGACACATGCAACATGTCAAATGACCACACTGGCGCGCGGCAGCGTGGAATCAAACCACTGCAATGATCTCACACCTGTTGATGTCATAGGCTGCCGCCGCCCTACCAACTAGACGATTGGCACTTTGTACCTTGAAACAGGAGTGGCGACATACTTAAAACTTCATTACCTTTTGGTCGGCGCGCGCGCGTGTGTGAGCGACCATTTGCGTTTGGACGCGCTCGGGGCCCGCGCGTGGGTGACGCCTGAGGGCACACATGCTCTGTGAGCTGCATCATAATCGGTCGTTTCGGCCGATGCTATGAAGTCTGACATCATCAGTGAGGCGCGCGCGTGAAGTGGACCCGGGGTCCACACATGCTCCCTGTTGTGGGCCTCTACCCTCCTTTCGTCCAACACAACTGTGCTGTCGATAGACCCGGGCTTAATGGAGGTCCACACATGCTTTGTTTCGTGAAGCCTCAAAATGAATGACGGACCCGACTTAAAAGGAGAATTGAAATCATTGACCTTTCAAAAGGCCAGGCCGATAAAAAGCTGATACGATTGAATGCACCATGCTTCGCCCATCATACAGATTTCTGAATGCAGACTGTAAAAGCTGAAAGGTACATTGGGATCCCAAAAACGATTTCTAGACAACAAAATTCATTTTTGGTAGACCGCTGAATGAGTCATATCAAATACATGATTGAAAATGATTTTCACATGGCAAAAATCATTTTTAGACAGGCTTTATTGCACGTTGCCTGAGTACAACAATGAATTGACATTCCGATCATCGATTCCTCAAAACCTAGATACTTTCAGAAAGAAACCTTCCTGTCGTCATGGTTTCAAGCTGTGAAATCCTCGCTTGGAAAGCTTGGTTGTGACACCTGACGAGAAACGCTGTGCTTGAAAAGGTGGCCTGTGAATGTTTGCACAATAATCGAAGCAGAATGTTCCAACCAAATATAGATTATATAGATGGCGTTGCGGTTCGTAACTGTTCCTTGAGGCAAAAATAGACGGTTCGGTTCGGTTTGTCCGGTTCGGTTCGTGTCGGTTCCATTGAAACTGGTACCTTTCCGGTTCGGTTCGCGGTTCGCGGTTCGGTTCCTAGGGCTTATGTTCGATCTTCGCAAGCTGCCGACTTCTTTTTTGGAGCGGTCCGTCGTGTGCGACCAGTGGAACTCCATTCCATTTGGCCAAGGAGGATCAACTGAAAGCACAGCAGCTGAGAAGAGAAGCTGACAGTCGTGCCACTGCTTCTGACGCTCACCTGGCCAAACTGGCAACTATATTGAACATTCTGGGGTTGTACTTGTGTGCCTGCGCATCATGTTATTGCAATTGCTGGCTGTGCCCTTTCATTCAACACTCCGTCGGACCGAGTCTAGACCTTATGCCATTCAAGGATGCCGCTCTACAGGAACTTGCTGATGCCATTATTGATGAGGGTACCTTCAAGTATGTCCCTTTTCTTGTAGTTTCTTTCTCACGCGGTCTTCTGATTGCTGTTGTTCAACACGGTGTGACAAAAAGCAACACGGTCAATGGTTACTCAGGTTCTTTTGCGTGCTACTGCAGCAAGTGGGCAGCAGAAATATTTGGTTCGTGGCACCTCCGGAGCTGTTTCAAGGCAGCATTTCGTTGCAAAAAATGTGTGGCATTGGTTTCAAGGACAGGTGCGTGAGGGTGTGCCCTTTTCTGTTCTCACTGGCACTTGAAGCACTGAGGCATACCACCGTGATGTTGCACTTCCATATGTGAAGTCGTACATGAAGGATGGCTTTGGGATAGAAGTCTTAGGTGGCGGACGGATCTTGCATGACACCCAAAGGCCGGATCACGAAAGAGTGGCCGGGACACATTTCTAGCTTTTGACATGGCAGGGGGTTCATCCAGATCTACGGCTTCTCCTATGGCTTCCCGTGGGTCGAGGGTGCAGGCCATGAGATTTCGGCTGAGGTGGGGCATGACAGTCCGCTGCCATACCTACCCAATGACTGTGACGACATCATGTTGCCCTCTCAGTCAAGAATCATTTGGCCAGGTCTGCCGTCAGTACTTTTCTGGCTACGAGGCTGGAGATGGTATCCAGCGCATCTTGATGAGAGCACTTTGAACATGCGGGTGAGCTGGTCTGATGAAGGCTACTGAGCTTGGCGCAGCAGAGCTGTGGATCGATTCGCGATTAGGGCTGCCAGATTGGAGCCTTAAAGTGGGCTTCAAGAGCGGGAGCAAAATCAGCCGTTTGAGTTGGAGCTTCACTGACCCAGTGTGAAGCACAAAGCACGAAGCACGACACCCGAGCTGCATTCTGAGGTGGGCGCGCGAAACCTTTGTTAGTTGGATCTGAGCCATGCGACATGGCTTGAAATCGAGGGCACCAACATGTTTGCAATTTACTTGTGCTTCTGTCTATGCTTGGGGCAGAAGCCAGAGAGCTGCACAAGCGCTAAGCGCTCTGAAAGAGGAAGGTTGCACTTCGCTCGCCACATGGGAAAAGACTCGTCGCGAGCAGGTCATCGAGTTCGGTGAGTGACGAGTGATTTTTCATGCAACGCGGTGTGCATGTTGCGTGGTGTTTGGTTCTCAGCTTGCGACGCTTTGACCGGAAGGCTTGCGACGCAGCCAGTCAAATGGTCACACAAATCTCATCCTGTGTTTTGGTGCTCCAAAAACACTGGACTCGAATAAGGATGAACCAATGCAGTGGTTTAAGCTGGAATTGGCCATGCCGCCCGACCAAGATTGAACCAAAGCACTGGTTGTCTCAGGTGGGAAAACTGCCTTCAAGCCAACTAGTATGTATATAATAGTATACATATATATAAGTAGTTTTTGAACCCGGTTGTGGGCTTCAAAACACGAAACTTTCCGCAAATTCCCTCGAGCACTACACAACATAGATTTAGATGGAGTTTGAACTTGGTTGGACCTCTTACCTAGGCTCTCACCGTACAATGAGGCCTTATGGGTTTGGCCCATTCGGCAGATGGTTGTGCAACCTGATGGCTCCCAGGACCTTGTCAAGGGGATCAATGAGGCCCTAAAGCTCCTTGTGTGAACACATCATGGTGCCGGCAGGACGAAGATGCAGTTGTGCTGGCTATCACGCTGACGCAGGTTTCGTGGCTGAAAGGGGGAACTCACCGCAGCGACTGGTCAATCTTGCCAAGGATGCTGAGCGACGCCTGCGCCATGGGTCTCAGAGAGTCGCGAGTGCTTGAAGGAAGTGGAAGCCAACAGCCACTGAGATCAAATCGGTTCAAGCACTCAAACACGCAGATTTGAGGTGACTTGCCACTGGAAGAGGAGCAAAGGCGGGGATTACAGTAATCATGTGTTGGCATTAATGAACAGGATGGAGCCTTTATGGTGGCTGGTGCCTTTTGATTACAATGCCGCCGAACGCTTCATACGCACGGGAGCGGGATAGAGTGTGCTAGCAGCATCCAATCTGTACAGGCAACAAGCAGCAAGTGCTGGGCTGGTTGCTCTGCTGGTGGCGCTCTTGGTGAGCAGACTGGGCAGCTTCTGAACACCGTCCCGTGCGCGTCGTGTGGAGGCAGAGCCCTTGCCGCATGACTTCACCAGATCACTCCTCAAAGCCCCGATGGAGGTGCTGGGAGGCCCACGGATTTCTGTGGTGATGAGACGTTTGGACACAGCAAGGGTACTTGAGAGTATGCGCATTCATTGTGTTGTATATGGACAGTATGCATTCATTAGAAAAGTGTACAGTATCATAGTTTATACAAACATATTTGTATAGTGCTGTAACTTCACAGGCCCAATCCCCGAGAACCTGATCAGGCAGTGAACCACTGATGAGTATGGCAGATTGATTGCCGCGCGCCTGCATTTTCCAGGTGTCCTGGGTTTTGCTCAGTTGCTACTGCGCAGCGGCCTCAAACTTTGCACCCTGGGAGGAATCAGTGACCCGATGTGACCCGTTTGCGCAGGCGTGCAGTCTATGAGCCGGCTCTGGAGCAAAGGGTGCGCCTTTGGAGTGAAGGTCGAAGTGAGAGCCGCGCATTTCCGGGACACATTTCCAGGCGGATTTGCTCTTACGCCTCCGAGCAGATCCCAACGGCTTCACCGGCCAAGGAGCAATAGAAAGAGAAACTGTTTGACAAAGCATGCACTGCTGGAATGCACCGGCAAAGAACGTTAATTTTAGTGCAACCAGCTTTGCCGCTTTCAGGCCGACCACAGCGGCCCCTGATGTATCCACCTCAGCACGGCACAGCTGGATATGTTTTTCGCCGGGATGGGAACACCAGGGACACCATTCCATTTCTGTGAGGTGCTGTGCCATGCATGGCTGGACATCGGTTGCAAAGCGGTTGTTGGCAGCAGAGGCACTGGAGGATTCGAACGGATCGAAGCGGTGGGTGGGTTTGTTGCAATCGAAACTCTGAGATTTGGACTAAACCGGGACGTTGAGGCCAATTATGGCCAATTGATGACTGGCCTTCTTGATCTTCTTGGAAGAACGCTTACGCTTACGAACATGTCAAACCTGTCAATGTGTCACTCTTCCAGTTCTCTGACCTCTAGAATTTATATAACTAATCCTTTTTTGATCTTTTTCTCCAAGCAGTTTATTGTTAGGGGCTCTCATTTCTTTCTTAAGACGTGTCCGCCCTTTGTGTCACTGGTGGTGTCCGCCCTTTTCCGCTGGCCATGCAGCATTTCTATTCGCTTGTCTCCCAGGTCCTGTCACTGCTCATGTCCGCCCTTTTCCGCTGGCCATGCAGCATTTCTATTCATTTGTCGCCGTTCTATTCATTTGTTTCCCAGGTCTGTCAATGGTGGTGTCCGCCCTTTTCCGCTGGCCATGCAGCATTTCTATTCACTTGTCTCCCAGGTATGTCACTGCTGGTGTCGGCCCTTTTCCGCTGGCCATGCAGCATTTCTATTCACTTGTCTCCCAGGTCTGTCACTGCTGGTGTCCGCCCTTTTCCGCTGGCCATGCAG